CCACTCTTTCCTATCGTCAGTTAATCTTCGCATTTCACTAAAACTAGAAGAACCCATATCCTTAACTATTTGCGAACAGTAATCTAATCTAGGTCTACTTCTACCATTCCTAACTTTGGTTTCTGCCTCTAATATGTCTCTGACTATACCTTCATGTCTGAGAAGGTGTCGTACCAACCTATTTCGACTAACATCATATTTCGAACGCTACTAACCTTTTCTTTTCCGCCGCGCCCACCGTCAATGTTTCGCACCCGTACAGCGCCGCGCTCCAAACATCTTTTTCGAATTTCTGAATTAATCATTCGCAAGCATAGAAGTGACTTGTCTGATTTCCTAAATACCTAAAATCAGCAACTTTTTCTAATTTTTCGCCTCCGATCTTTATATTCGCTCTTTCCCTACTGTTTCTTCCCTTGCAAACGAGTATTTTTGGTTTACTTTTATTTATTTTCATACAATACTGTTATCAATACCGCTTCCATTTTATTTAAAGCTATCTGTAACTCCTCCTTGCTATTAATATTAAATTAGTCCTGTTGTCACTGACTTACTATTTATAAAATTACAAATATGAATTTAAATTGAAAACATTTTATGTACAACCCAATAGGACAAGTATTTTTTATTAAATGTTAATCAAAAAGAAACGCGAAAGTATGATGTAATGAGGGTTTTATTCATATTTACAAAATGACGATCATGAGGGAGAAATTATTCAATAGTTGGGTATTCTACTTGACCATCATGAATAAGAAAATAAATTAGGAGTACAATAGGTATGCAGATTATGCATCAGACATCTAAAGACAAAATTGCTAGTTTCGCAATTAAGTAAATTTGTCAAAGTCAAATAAGACTAAGAAAAACGTGAAAAGATCAAGTAGGTTAACAATGTTATTTATGCAGGCAAAAAAAAAACGCTTATGCTACTTCACCTAATTTGCTTGAACCAACATCAAATACAGAAAATTTTAATTTGTGTACATTACGGCAACTCCAGTAAATTCGATAACTACAGTTATAAAGTACATATGTATCTACATATATATGTTTACCATTACCACTCATGAGTAATAAAAGTATTTCACAATTCAGTATTTGATTCTACGAATATGTAAATTTATTTGGCCATATATTAATCAAAATGTAAATTTTTACGGTACTTTTTCAAAAATAGACCATCAGTAACTACAATATGTATGTACCAGTAAAATTAGAGTAAAGTAACGTTAAAGGCAAGTAGTTCAACAAAAAAGAGTTTCACATGCATATATACCTTTTATTGAAAGTGTTGTTGGTACTAACCAATGAAAATGCAAAACTCAACTAGAAAAATAAAAAACTAAAAATATTTATAATTACTTATAACATTAGGTAACGACGCAGAAGTCATTGAAAAAGGTATGTTATGGAATAGGTTTGCAATGGGTTAATAATTGCTGGAATCGTGGACCAGCTAGTATCAGCCTG